CTACAAGTTATGATTGGGAGAAAGCTAGAAAATTTGTCAAGTTTCTAAGAACCTTTTATGATGTCACATTAAAGTTTAGTTCTTCATTGAGTGTTACTTCCAATATTTACTTCCATGAAGTTTGTAAAATGGAGCAAATTTTGAAGAAAATGGGTGAGAAGCAAGATTATTTGCTAAGTAGTATAGCAAATAGCATGAAAATTAAGTTTGACAAGTATTGGGATAAAGTTGATAAAATGAATAAGATTTTGATTGTAGCAGTCGTGCTTGATCCTAGGTATAAGTTGGAGTTTGTTGTACATTGCATTGGTGTTTTGTATGATAGTGTTAAAGTTGAAGCCACAAAAAATGAGCTCATGAAATTATTGTATGCTTTATATAACCAACAAAAGGGATGGCATCGTTCAAACAATGGACCGAGTGGAAGCGGAAGTGGGGGTGATGAATCTAATGATGGAGTCACTTTGTTGGAGGATTTGAATGATGATGATGATTGGGATGATTACAATTTTGATTTTGGGTACAAGAAATTGAAAACTACCAAATGGATTTTTCTGAAAAAGATGAGGTACAACAATATCTAATGAAATCCACTGAAGATGTTAGTGATGAAAATTTTGACATTTTGAATTGGTGGAAGATCAATAAATCAAGATTTGAAATTTTATCTGAGGTTGCAAGGGATGTTCTTGCCATTCATGTATCTACAGTTGCTTCTGAGTCAGCATTCAGTACTGGAGGGCACATTCTTGATCCATTTAGGAGTTCTTTAACTCTTAAAACAGTTGAGGCCTTGATTTGTACACAAAATTGGCTAAGGGAAGAATATAGACTTTTGAAGGTTTCCCAAGATAGAGTTTGCATTGAAGAGACGGAGGTTTATGAAAGCATTGAGACAGGTAATAATATATATATAAACACACACACACACTATTAAATCTTATTAGTTGAACAAATTTGAATTTATTTATGATTGTTAATAAATTAATTGTGCTTTTTCAATTTTTTCTTGTAGAGTTTCTTAATAGGGAGTATGACAAGTCAAGCAATTGATGAATAGTTAAAGTTTTAGTATTAGTATCTACACTTTGGTATTTGTGAATTGTAAGCATCGATAAATTAATGTTATTGGACAACTTGTTATTTACATGTTATTAAATTTGACTATGTTAATTTGTAAAACTACGATTGAATGTGTCATTAGTTGTATTTATATAGTGTTTTTATAAATATTAAAAAATTTAATTATAGTACGAAATCAAACCAAACCCAAACGATTTCATAATTATATTCGGACCCGACGGTTCCATTTACTAGATACCCGAAAATTTTGATTTGGTTCGGTTCTCTTTAGAACCGAAATCGAACTGACCCGCGCTCACCTCTAGGAGGGCCTCCAAAGAAAACCGAACCGAACTGACCCGCACTCACCTCTAGGGGGGGGGTGGGGGGGCTCCAAACCTCAAAATGGATTTGAGTGCATGTGTAAATTGCAGCAGCAGGGATGGCGGTTTACCATTTGAAGGTCGCGACTACCAGAAGTGCTCTCCACTAAATGTGGTCGTGCACGAACATCATAAATGATTGGCCTCTCAAACCATGGGATCATCAAGTGTGTTCCTTCAGGATAAACCTATAAATCCAACATGAAAATGAATGTAGTGACATATTTCTTAGCAAAGATTGAATATATAAAAGAAGACTGAAGCTTTAGATTCATGGTAAATGTGTTCATGCGGAAAGCTATAGGCCACTGAACATACTCAGGTAGTGAGAAAATATGAAAAAATTGAGAAACAATACAAAAATAGAGAGTATATCGCAGAAGTGAGGCACCATTTGAAGACAACATAATAAAAAGATACCAAAATTTTTTACTTTACTGGTGAAGAATTGTGGAAATTCTAAGAATATGGTAGTTTCAACATTTACACCAAGGCAAAGCATGCATGACAAAGCTATCCAAATCCCACTCACCTCTTTCATGGTAATACAATTTGGAATGCAGAAATCACAAAAATACCCTCCTCTACACAATGTTCTTTACTCAACTTGAGGTCAGAAACATTGCAGGATGAATCCAAAGTAATATTTAGAATGAATTGCAAGATCTGTCAAAGTGACATACCAGGAATTATGCTTTATAATGGTCATGTCATTTGTCCAGAAATATCTCCCTTCTCCATATACAAATAAATCAGAGGGAAGTTGCTTATTATGTTCTACTTCTTTGACACAAAGTGCAATTTTCCACATAACAATAAATCATTAATAACATGTATTTACAAAACTCAATTTTTTACTGCATACACTGATGATATTCACTTGTGGCTCTGAATTTAAGGTGGTAAGATGCATATTGCCACAGGACAAGCTAGAAGATAGATATGTAGGTGGCAATGCATCACGTGTCATAAGAGACTTACTAGTTCCATAGTATATGGAGAAAGGTTAAATGCAATTTTCTAATTTTTTTTTTTTTTTTTAAGAAATCCACTGAAGGAGATTTTAGTAACGTGGACACAAAGGGAGGCAGTCTTTCCTGAAAGATAAGTTGCATAGAAAGCCTGAGCTAATCACAAAATGGTACTTTATACAGCAAGCTGTATATCATACCAATTGAGCAGAATCGCAAACACCCATTTTTATAGATGACAAAAAGTGTAAAACTAAGCAAGTAGAGAAACATGCACTAGGTAGTGAAACTAATTCAAAATATTATAAGCATTCAAAAAAGCACGTAAATGTCAAGTCTGATCTTAGAAATTGGAAGCAAGAAAATACCTTATCTTTGATACCAATAATTCGGTTGAAAACGACAGCTCGGTGCCCTCCATCAACGTTGTATAGACTGTTTGCAACTCCATACACACCAAGCCCAGCAATGACACCCAATTTAATTAAAGCAGATGCAGCACCCCCACCAGGCATCTTGGGAACCTTGACATTGTTCAGATTCATCTTCTAAACTTCTGCAGAAGCAAATCCCGGTACCATCCCATCAGATATTATGCTTTAGAAAAGCGTGATTGCTAAAAAAGAGCTTCCAGCTTATTTTATAATCAATTGTATTGAATAAAAATGACAAAGCGTGACATGTCAAATTCAATGAGGAAGGTAAAATATGTAAGATTGAGTCCAGCTTATTTTATAATCAATTGTATTGAATAAAAATGACAAAGCGTGACATGTCAAATTCAATGAGGAAGGTAAAATATGTAAGATTGAGTCCAGCTTATTTTATAATCAATTGTATTGAATAAAAATGACAAAGCATGACATGTCAAATTCAATGAAGAAAGTAAAATATGTAAGATTGAGCTTTGCTGCTGTGTAAATTATATGCCCAAAGAGGCCTTCAATAGGTTATGGAAAAAGTGCTTACTCTGAAGATACAATGTATAGCATACAAATGACAAAGTCTGAGCCCTCATATTTCTCTAGAAGTGGATAAGTTTTATGCCTCAAAGAGACTTACCAATCCAGAATAGCAAAATGGACATCTTATTTTCTCAAAACACATGTTTCACAGAAAGGCGAGCAAGTGTGAATTATGGTGTACATAATTGACAAAAGTCAAACGCCAAATCAATTACACTGTGACCAGAATCTAGATATGCACACGTTAAATCCTTGAAGCATCAAATTGACCCAACAACATTTGTCAAAAAAAACATTACTATTAAACAAAATCTTTCTTTATTCCCAAGTAATGATAAATGAAATATGGAACAACACAGAAGATAAATTCCACAAGTAGAGCACCAACCCCCTCACCAACGCACAGAGTAGGAGAACAGCTAGGTCTTCAAAACTTTAAAAAGAAAAAAAATGGATGAGCCACCAAACTCTAGTCTACTGCCGACTTTAGTTTCCATTAGATCAAAAATGAAATTCACAAGCAAAATATCTCATACAAAATTTAGACATGCATCCAATTAATGGAGCTCGCCTTACGAACAAATTATTATATTTATCTAAAGAGTTAGGAAAATGGGATCCGTGTACCTTTTGACGGAAATGGAGAGGAGGAATCAAAATCTGGAGAACAAGAGGGTAGAAAAAAGGAAAAAGGGGTTTTAGAGACTGAACTTGGGGAAGGGGTTACCGGTTTAGGGCTTTAGTGCATTCCGAAATTTCATTATTTATATTTTCTTATTAAATTTTATTTTTGAAATTTCAGACTTTTTTTTTTTTGAAATTACATAAAACCATGCTTTTAAACATCTCATTTCATAAATCATAAGCTAAATTTAGTATTTCGAAAATCAGATTTTCTAATTTATAATAATTAAATTAATTAGATTCCTAACCCATATACTATCCACCCATCACAATTTCAATTTCAAACCCTAATCCCTCTCTTCTCCTTATTAGGAGTGGGTGTGGATTGGGTTGGATCGATTTTTTCAACCCAAACCCAACCCAACATGATCAATTTGATTGAAAGTCAACCCAACATAGCCCAATTATTGATTTAAACCTAACACAAATCGATCAAGTTTGGGTTGGGTTGGTCAGTTTGGGCTTCGGGCCACTTAAAGTTGAATCTGATGTATTTGTTAAATTTGGATAATTTTTTAAAGTTGGAAATTACTTGAAAACCTCTCTTGTTTAAATACATATATAATGAATTCTTTTTTAAAATAATGTATAAATAAATTTAAAATTTATAAAGCGTTTTTTATTTTATTTTTTGGAATTCATTCATTTCATCATCAATAAATTTAAAATTTATGAAGCATTTTTTTTTTAAATTTTGGAATTCATTCATTTCATCATCATGTCTTTAATTTTTTACTTTATCATCAAATAATATTGGATTTGTATATATTGTTCATGTGAATCGATCTATGTGAAGAAAATAGACATTTATAGATACAAACCATTCTCTTATATTTATTATTGTGTCTATTAACAAATTTTTTTCTATCTTAGAAATTAATTTTTTAATTCATCGGGTCGGGTTGAGTTTTAATTCATAACCTGAGACCTAACCCAACCCAATCGAACTTCAAATTCAATTTTCCAACTCAACCCAACCTAATTGAACTTAAAAAACCAACCCAAATTGATTGGTTTGGTTTGGGTTGGTTGGGTTAAGCGGTTTTGGTTAGGTTATGCCTAGCCCTACTCCCTATCCCTACCCTTATCTCCTCTCTCTCTCTCACCATCGATGGCACCGCCAAGAGAGTTCAGTCGGCAAAAGAACACGTCGCCTGCAGGCAACGCCCCTATTATTGCCGTTGCGTACAGCGATTATCCCTCTCCCTAATCATCTCTTTCCCTCACCATAAACAGACTGCGCCGCCAAGAGAGCTCCCCCGGTAGGAGAGCACGTCGCCTGCAACAGGTGTGCATCGCGATGTTATGTAGCAGTGACGGTGGTTGTGCTGTAATGCAGTGGTGGTGGTGTGGTTGCGGTGGTTGGGTGAGTAGTGTGGTTGCAGTGATGTACTGATATGGTTTCTTCTTATCTATTTTTTGTGAAGGAGTGTTTGGGAGTGATTGTAGTTGAAAATGGTGGAAGTGGTGATTGCAGTGATTGTGGAGGCGGTAAGGCAGTGGCGTTTTGGATCTGATTTGTTGATGGAAAGCTGGTAGCGACGGCACGAGTTGTGGTGGTGAAGTGGTAGTGGTGGTGGTGCTGCTTGTAATCGTGGTAGGGTATAGCTATAGTTGCGACGACGGTGGTGTTATTGTTGGTGGCAATGGAGGCGGCAATGACGTCAACGGCTTGAGATGGGGTTGGATGCGTGTGAAAAATTATTTTGTTGATTATGACCAAGAATTGGTTAATTTGTAATATGTGACCTAAAAGTTTTGACTATGACTCACAATTGATTAATTTGTGATCGAAAATTTAATTGTGACCAATTTATCTAATAATTTGTAGTGAATAAATGAATTGTGACCAATAAAAGTTTTGATTTATGACCGATAAATAATCTATGATCGATAATTTGTGACTGTATAATAAGTTGTGATCTATAATATTTGTGAATTGTGACCAATAAATAAATCGTGACTTATAAATTTTTTGATTTTTGATTTTGTGATTGATGAACGAACTGTGACATATAAAATTTTTGAATTGTGACCTTAAAATAATTTATGACATAAAATTTTTTATTTGTGATCAAAAAATAATAAATGACAAATTAAATCATTATTTTGTGATCAAATTGTATACATCTGTAACCTAAATATATTTAAATTAATTAAATCATAAATAAATTTTAATAAAAATCTGATTTTTGAATTTTGAAACTTGTTTTCTTGATTTTGAAATGTGTTATACTTAGACTCTTATTTATGAAATTTTTCCTTTTTTTCTCTTTAAAATCTAGGCTGAAAGCTACCAATTCATTCTTAATCCTTACCACTTATTATAGGTGGAAATTACATACAAGAGTTTTAAATTTCTCAATTCAAAATTTAGATTTACAACTTTTTTTTTTTTCAAATTTCAGATAATTGAAATTTTAAATATTAATAATATTATTATAAAATTAAACCAACCCACCTGATCCTCCACGCAACCCAACCCAACCCAATTCCTTTCCAAACCTAAAAATCATGTTCACTCTTTATCTTCTCTTCTCTTCTCTTCTCACTCTCTCTACCAGCCCTGTCGTTCACTGCGTCACCACCTCTCTCTAATCTAATGACACCATGCACGATGCTTTACTACACCGCTACATGCGATGCCTCGCTACGTACAATAGCAAGGCACTGTACGTTGCAAATGGCGAGCGATGCGCCGCCCTAGAGATGTTGCAGTTTTTTAAAATTTTTTATTAGATCTGTTTAGAGCCTATTTGTCTCCCATTCTAGGAGAAAATATAGAGTTTTGAATAGTAGTTCAAAGTTTCAAATTAAGGTAGGTAGAGGTGCAAATGTTTATTTCATTTTCAAATTATGATTTTTCGATAAATGATTGAATGAAATGGTACCTTCGGGTACGATACTTCGACATTACAACAGTTTGAATGATCATTCTCTGGCTCTACGTATTATGATAATGCTACAATAAATGGATTTTGTCGAAAATTCATCTATGTACGAAGGTATGAATCTATAGTTCGAAATTTCTAATTTGATGATGAAATGCACCGATGATATCTATTGAGTTTCAAACTCATGGGTTAATTCCCTTTCTACAGGTTAAATGGATTTCATTGGTGTGTGGATGATGGTAGAGGATAACACAACATGCTATGGAGGAAGTCGGTGATTTAATAATTTTAATTCGATCATAAAATGTTTATGTTTTTTTTTTTTTAAATATGGATTTCTACGGAGGTCATATGTGGAACTATTATAAGAATATTTCTTTATGAATAAGTTATGTTTAAAAATAGATATGTGTCATAGAAGTTAATTTACAAATCATCACTTTAAAAAAAAGTGTTACTGTCTCTTTAAAAATTTCAGTTTCTGTCTTGACTTTAAAAATTCTTAACTCACTCGTTACTTGGAATTTTTAAAACCAAAACCAATGGCACTAGATAGCCACATGGGTTAGCTTCTGAATGAATTTGAAATCATGTCAATCCGATATCGGTAGAATTTTATATGTCACTTTATGTAAACTGCACATGGGTAGTGTTACTATTTTTCAGCTTCTGCCCTTAGTTTCAAAAATTCATAACTCACTTGTTACTTGAAATTTTTGGACAAAATCAATTGGGATTGATAGCCTCAAGAGTTAACTACGGAATAAAGTTGAAATCATGTCGCTTTGACGTGTGTAGAATTTTACATGGCACTTTAAGTAAGCTTCGCTTGGTTACCTTCAAACCTGAACCCCTATGGGATTTTGAAAAATATTTTAGTAACTCATATGTTGCCGACAGAAGTTGATTTTCGGATATGTCATATTATAAGGAGTTTTCTACTTTACATTAAAATTTCACAAAGTTTCGAGGTTGATAGCCATGCAAACAAATTTATTTTGATAATTATCGTTTGAGATAAACACTAAAACAACAACATTATTTTTAAAGTTTTGCCAAAAATTTCATGTCAATAGTAGTTAGTTGCATGTAAACCATTCTAAAAACATTTTTTGAAATTGTTTATTTTAGTATTGAATTATTTTGTTTTAGGAAAAAAAAAACTTGAATTAAATTCTTAAATTAAATCTTTATACTTTTCGCTAAATGTATAGTCAATTATTAAGTTTACGGCTAAAGTACATTTAATCTAGTAACATTTCGATCCTTCCGAGTCGTGACGTTACAGTTTTTATGGTAGGTATTTGTTTCTTTGAGATGGTGGTGTTATTGCCGATTGTTGTGAGGTGGTGGTGGTTCTGGATGATGGGTTGGCAGCGGTGCCGTTAAAGGCAATGGTATAGTGGTCACAAATTATTTGGTTGATTGTAACCAATAAGTTGGTTAATTTGTATCAATAAATAATATATGATCAATAAAATAAATAATTTATGATCAATAAATAATGTGTAATCTTAAATTTTGTTAATTTATACAATAATTTGATAATTTGGTAGCTAGAAATAATTTGTGATCAATTAGTTTGATATTTTATGATCATGAAATAAATTGTTAATTGTGACCAATTAAAAAATATGTGACCTATTAGTTTGATAAATTTGCAATAGAGAAATAAGCTGTGACATTTAAAATTTGTGATTTGTGATTTGTGACTGTGACTGTAACTGTGACTGTGACGCATGTAGTTGTGATTAATATATAATTGTGACTATAAATTATATAATATTGTGATTTTAATATATTTAATAAACTTTTTTTTAATTAATTATTTTATAAATAAAATTTAATTAATATTTGATTTTCTAAAATAATAAACCTTGTGAAATGGGTTATACTTAATGTTTGAATTATGAAATTTCCCGTTGTTATGGCATAAGGGTTAGCCTTATTTGGGATTGTGGTGTTCTTACGAAGATTAACTTTTATTGTATCGTAAAAAGAATCGATTGTTGGAAGTATTAATTAAGTGTTCAAGAAATTTTTGTTTTAAATTATTTTATATCTCAAAATCAGCATTTTAGCATTTAATAAATAAAAGTAATTTATAATTGTGCTCGAATGCAATTACTAAATTGGACATTGATTATAATGATACCTTTATGTATTATTATTATTGAAATAATTATAAAATTTTCCTTTTATAATAATATGTAATATTTATTAATTTTTATAATAAGCACTGTATTATTATATGTCACATGTTGAGTTGTGTGTCATATTGTAATATAAATTTTGTCATTTCCGACTTCTAAAAATGTTATGATACATATCACCACTAGCTTACGGCTGTCAAAATATCTCTACTACCGCCGTTGTTTGGCAACAATATTCATCGCCATTGATAGGATACTAAAAGGGACCGAACACTCACACCTCAAACATAGTGGTTGACATGCGGGATGATTGAACACTCACACTTCGGGGGTCGGACATTATTTTATACACGCGGGGTCCACGCTCCATGTGAGGATCGGTCACCCATTTTCGGGCACTTCGACATTATTCTACTAAAAGCGACCTTCATCATAAGACCAGTTGGGTCGCAAATTTTATGTACACCTAAATAGAAAGAGAGAAAATACAATGAAAGAGTTGAGCTTTATTGAAGAAAACAAATTAATTAAATTACGTATCAAAACAAAGAAAGAAAAGAAAATAGTAATCCAAACAGAACACGTGCATGGATTAATGTAGGTATAAACAAAGTTACTTGTACCAACTTTTTTACACCAAATAACACAACATTAACCAAATGCAAGACACCATTCCAAATCCCACACTCATCTTCCCAGATCCATTCGCCGCAGCCGGCGCATCGGGTGTTTTGTTGTTGTCACTGGAATCACTTTTCGTGCCATTCAGGGCCGGAGGAGAAGCAGCCGGAGCCTTGGCTTGGGTAAATTCCACAGGCAACAAAACTTTGTCAACTTGGTAAACAGCCAAAGGGAAGTCTTTTCTAATTGCATTATAAATTGGGACATCAACAATTCCTGTAGAAACATTAACTTGATTGCCCTGTCCTGTGAAATTGAGCCCAAATACTCCACCATCTTGGCCTGTTGCCTGAGTTCTGACAGGGTTGCTGACGGTCTGCAGATTTTGTACAGTGTAGTATTTAGGAAGAACGTGATACTGAACAAGCTGCACTTGTTGTTGGGTTGAAAGCTTGTTAAGAGTTCCTGCGGGGAGATTAAGGAATGCATTGTCTGTGGGGGCAAAAACAGTCATGCCTTCATTGGAATTGTTCAGTTGGTTATTAATCTGGTTTCCTGCTTGTGTTTGATTGAGGAGGCGGATGAAGGTGGTGTATTGGCCGGCTTTTTCAAGGATTCCGGTGATGTTGATAGGGCCGGAAGGGGCGGGGGCCGGAGCGGATTGAGCATGGAGGGTAGAAATGAGGGAGAGGATTGTAGTGAGAGAGAGAAGGATGAGAGAGAAACTCATTTTGGCCATTTCGTAGTAGAGTTGGTGGTTGTGGTGGAGACTTGTGTGATATGGGGTTTTATGGGATAGGATGTGAAGTGTAGACTTTGTTGGAATGAGCTGGCTAAGTATATAAAACTAGACAAACCCTACGTTGAAAGCACAATCCCAACTAGTTAAATAATGCAAACCATCCATTGAATCTCATTCACCCTGAAAGTCTATTTGATATATTAAATTGATTACACTACAAAGAATTTAGGACAACTTCTTGCTTAGGTTAATGAATAGATATTTCGAATTATAACAATGAATCATTCTGTAAAAATGAATACAAATTTCGAATGCCTACCATCTACAAGTTGTTGAGCATAACATGATGAAGTTGGGACTCAATTCATGAACATATAAGAGGGACATGAGTTGATTAAGGTGCATTCGCGCAAGAGTGGAGATGGACTGTATTCGTGAGCTGAATTCTTGAATGAAACATGAGATAATTTTATCCATGTTTTGTCCAAATTATCAAATATTCTACAATAAGCAATGAGCATTTAGCTATTATATATTCTGCTCCATCACAAACTTGTCAGTATAGTTAAAGATAATTACAACTGGAAGTAATAAACTTTTCATGAATGTTGGAGTAACAAATTTATTAGTCAAACTTAATAAAACAAAGCCATTTTAGAGCATAATTATTTCTAAACAATAAGTAAAAACAACGGGTCGGTGATCTTGTGATTAGGTAAGGCTGTCTCAAGCGCAAATGAACAAAAATTAAACCCAAGTTGCAATACCTACTCAATAGAAAATGTGTATTCAATCAATTAATCATAGAAAGATGAATGACAAGCATATTTCGGACAACCTGGCCGAACATGGCATGTGGCCTACCTACGTGGTTTCTACTAAGAATTCTACAAAATACAGCAAAATACAGCAATTTAACAAGCTGTTTCTGATATTTCATGACTGGGTTGGTCCATTTTAAGAAATTATTATCCAAAATTACCAAATTATATATAACAGATCATGTTAAAAATCATATTGGTAAATTTTGAAGTGAGATTATAATATTCCAATTTTGATACCGTTTATACAACTATAACCTAGAGGATTTTACTCCTTGAATTTCTATTATTCTTAAACAAACAGTTTTCCTGAATATGATATGTCCATATAATCGTTAAAAAATCATTTTTAATGGATGACTATATCTTTATTTTCAATTAAATTAAAAGACTAGGAGTAGTGACAATCTTTGATGCTCGGACTCTTTGAAATGGTTAGAGTATCTGTGTCAGACACGACACGACTTGAGTATGGGTATGAGATATGTGTTGGATCCTCCAAATTTCTACCGGACACTTCGCCCTTTTTTACTTGTTCTTTTTTCTTTTCCTCTTCTTTCCCGCTTCCTATAATTGAAAACTAAACCCCAAAATTATATTTTATTAGTCTCAACATCTTATTCAATACTTATTTCCTTTTTTGTGAACTATTGATTTTGGTCTATTCAAAATGACATTTCGGGTTAATAAAAAAATTGAAGTTTGAAAAACATACTCACGTACCCGTGTCCGAAATTTGAATTCTTTTTAACCATGTCCCCGTATTTTATATTTTAGAAGATAAAAGATCTGATACTTAGATACGTACCCGTACCCGAGTCTACAATAACTATTGGCTTATATAATCATGGTCGAGATCAATGTGGTGCAATATTATTAAGTGTGGCTCACACAATGACATACACATCCAAATGATATCCACGCGAATATGTTCCATGACCAAGAGTGTCTCACACAGACACGTGCAATAGTTCGCTCAACCAAATAACATTGCTTATGGCAATATTCCAAGATCCACCACCTATAGGTGGAAACAATCAATAGGAAACAAAGCCCAACAGTATCAAGATTTGGCATTAAACTTGGCCAAAAATAATGCATCCAATTTTAACTAGGGAAAAATTTACATCTCAAGTGTTATGTTTACTCTAATTCAAAAATGAGGTAAATTGTTTGAAAATTCAAAAATCAGGTTTGTATTTAATTAATTAAAAATATTTATTAAATAAAGATAATAAATTCACAGTTACACGATTAATGGTCACAGCTTCATAATTATAGGTCATATATTTATTTACTGATCACATATCGTCAACTTAATTGATCACATATTATTTTGTGGTCACAAATCAAATATTTCAAGGTCACAGATAATTTAAATTATAGGTCACATTTTATTTATGGATCACATAGATCATAGTTTATTGATTATAAATTATTTTTTAGTCACATACACCTAATTTTTTGTCACAAATCAACCAAGTAGCTGGTCACAAACGTCCAAATAATTGGTCACAGACGCCTAATTGTTGGTCACGGACACTCCCACCCATCACCTCACCAACAAGAGCTTCACCGCCTCCTGCCACCACCATCATGAGCACCACCATGCCAATAACGTCACCACAATACCATGCTCACAACACAAAAAAAAAAAAAAAAAAAAAAA